TCTAAGGCCCATCCTCATGAGGGTCCCACCAGTCTCTCCCAGACCAATAATGTAGGTCAACTTGAAGAGGCTTTGGGCACTTCCCATCCTGCCTTGATAATCTACCTGTCCTGAGTCTCAGGCCACCTGCCTCTCCTGCTGATAGCAAAGCCGTATCACGCGTCATTCATCAAGTTAATGCCTCACCAGTCCCAGGTGGACTATGTATGCTTACAGGCATCCCCTGAGACAAAGGGAGGGTGGGAATGTTAGGAACCCACAGTAGGCTGTGCGGGAGCTGTGGAGATATTCAGGGACAGATGAGTCAGGGACCTCCCAAAGCTTGTCATCAGGAATCCAATCCTGTCTGTTGGTGAGGAGTATCTTTTTTATTTGATTATTTCTTCAAGATTTTTTTATTGTGGTTTGGGTGAAAGTTTATGGAGCAATCTTTTTTTGGGGGGGGCTCAGTCGTTCATCACATTTTGTCTTGTGATGCTGACTGCATTTTCCACCGCCAACAACACCCTCCCCACTTGCTCCCTGTTTGCTGCCTTTACTGGTCCTCTTATCGTTTCTTCCCTGTTCCCTGGACCTGCAATGATGCTGGGCAGCCCTTGGAAAGCAATACCCTATAGCAGGGCTGACCAGCACTGGAGGTGGGAAGGCAGAGAGGGAGAAGAGTCTAGAACGGTTGTTGGGGGTGTGGGGGGCACACACCGAGGAGGAACAAAGCGGAAAAGCAGCAGATGGAGAGGGCTCGCAGACTACACTGAGCTTCTAGCATCCAGATGCATCTGCCCCGCCAAGGAATTGAGGTTCCGTTCCAACACGTGGTCAGAACACGTGGTCAGAGCTCTAGGCAGCGCTCTTTGGAGACCACTGTGCCAGAGAGGTTCACGACACGGAGGTGCCAGGGCCAGGAGACCAGGCAGCAGGCAGGGAGGAGTGGGACTTCAGCTAGCTGGATTTCTAGAGCTCACAAGTAGCTTCGCCAGATCCGTTTGCCAGTTTAACTCTGTTCCTAAGGGCTCGGCCATTGTGGGACTGATTATTGGTCACTAGAAAAATGTCGTTTCCCTGCCCCATCCCCTTGCCCACTGCCACCTGTTTCCTAAAAAACAAAAAAAGTAACTGTCAAGCAGGCTTTGGTCACATTTCAAATGGTAGCGTTGCCACGAGGCCATTTTTGTGCTGATTCTCCTTGGGGGAAATCTCACAGCCGAGCGGTGGAACGAAGCCCCCTGTCTCATTCACCCCCAGCCTTAGCTGGAACCCGTCCTGGCTCTGCTTGGCCTGCCGGCTGCTGTGAAAACGAGGGCATTGGAGCAGCACCATTTCCATTCAGTGGGTTGCCTCGTGTGGGGCCAGTTTCAAAGTCACCCGTTGGCTTTTTATTGATTGACTTATGTGTTATGAGAGCGACTCACACTTCGCCCATCTGCAGAGAGCGGTGGGATTGTCACTTTCCTTTATAAGGAACCCTGGTGTCGCAGGGCTTAAGCGCTCAGCCACGCACCACAAGGCCTGCAGCTCGAGCTCGTCTGCTGCTTGGCGAGAGAAGAGACGGTCGGCTTCTAGAAAAGATGATGGCCAGGGAGGCCCTGCGGGGCAGTAATGCTCTGTCCTGGAGGTTTGCCGTGAGTCAGGATCGATGCTAAGACAGTGAGGTTTTCTGTCTTTGCCCGCTGGCTGTCTGCTACGCCTACGGAAGAGCTACCAGGGGAGGCTGGGAAGGCTCTGATCGCTGCCCATTCTGATGCCCAGCGCCCTTCACATGCCTCATGGCCTTGGTCTCCACCACTCAGGACCGCAGAAGGCAGAGCCCCGCTGACCACACGCTTGCTGTCTCTGCTCTTTTCAGAATGGGTTGAACGGCCTGCACCTGGCCTCTAAGGAAGGCCACGTGAAGATGGTGGTCGAGCTTCTGCACAAAGAAATCGTCTTGGAAACGACAACCAAGGTGAGTCTCATTGGGAAAGGGGAAGCTCGTCACTGAAAATCCAAGCATCTGGGGCCCGCGAGCATTGTTCCAAACCCCGGTGTAGACCCAGCCCTAGTGTGAGAGGAGCCCAAGGTTTTAGAATGTTCTTATCCCTCCAATCACTTTCCAGGTCAGTGAGTCCCTCACGTCACCTGAAAACAGGGGACCCTGTCGCACAGCAGTGCAGGGGTCTTCACTTCATGCTCATCATTCAATCATCGATCTAAATACGGAAGCCTTATCCCAGGGATGCCACGCTTCTTAGGCTTCATCCAGGAGGCTAAGGGCACAGCTAAGGTCATTTTAGAACCCTTCTGAAATGCTGCACACGCTCAGGAAAGTCGGCGTTATTACTCAACCAAAGTGAGGGCCCTGTGTCCTCATCTGTAAAATGGGGTGTGTGTGTTTCACACTATGATTTGGCTAGTTTAATGGCTATTAAAATGGAATGAGATAATGTACCCAAAGTACATCTGCAGAGGATCAGGAAATACTGGCGACTCTGTTGGGCTGGTAGCCTCAGCGTTGGCAGCTCAAGCCCCCCAAGGGAGAAAGCGGTCTGCTCCGGTCACCATGTGGAAACCAGCTGTCCTTTGTCCCCCAGGCTCACTGCAGGTCAGCCTCGACTCGATGGCAGTGTGTTTGTTTGGGTTATGTTGTTATCAAAGGTCTTAGGAGACGTTCTAGACCCTCATCATTAACCGAAGTCCAAAGCAAACTCCAAACCCATCGCTGGCGAGTTGCTCCGTCCGCCTTGTGCCCTATCGGACAGAAAAGAACTGTCGCCTCGGGTCTCCAGAACCAAAGCCATGGCCATGCTCCTCCCACGGAGCATCTGGTAGATTTCAACCGTGGACCTTTGGGTGAGCAGCCGAGCACGGAACCGCTGTACCACCAGAGCTCTTTAATCCAACTCCTCTGATTTCCTTTTCTCCCCGTTCACCTCCAAACTCGTTCCCTTTCCTTCCCAAACACCTCGCACCGCTTCCGTTCTCTCTGGCAGAGGCTGGCATCAGAGCCCTCGCAGCAATAGATTCCTCCTCCCCTCTGACGATCACGGGCACCAGTGGCTTAAGTTACTAAACTGTAGAGTTGTGAAACTGAAGCTCATCCATGGATTGAAAAAATAATCTGTTTTATTACTTACACACGTGTGTTTTATTTGTTTATCAAACAAAAGGCAGCCGGCATTTCAAAAGGCGACTATAAGCAACAAGCATTTTCCTGCCTCAAATATGTTTCCTGAATTCTTGTTCTCCCTTCTTGTCCTGTGTTCCTTGCCCATGATTTCTTTGCCCCTTGCTTCCCATCTCCCATTGTTATTATGACATATGGCCTCACCCCCAGCCTCCCTGCAGCTCCACCGCCCCGTAGTCTGCAGCCTCGAGATCAGAGCACTCCAGAGAGCAATATATAAAGAACAGGCATCATTTCTGGTTATGAAGTGAGCTTCCCAATATTATGAAGGTGGAACCATCTCTGGGGGTGGAATGCTGTAATTTTCATGTCACTTCCTGAGTTTGGAAAGATCTCTCTGCATTTATTGGTAAAGTACACGGAGTGTCTTCCTCATCCTATATTATTTCCCCAGCCCATGGCAAATGCTGGCTGCATCCACCCTGCTCCTTCTGGGGGTGAAGGGGTTGCAGCCATCATTTCTTCTTTGGGGATATTCCCCGTGCCTGGCCACAGCAGCCTGCCATCGCACGGGCTTGGTGTGCGCCCGAGAGGGCCTCTGCCCGGGCACCGCCCCAGAAGCTGCACGAGCGAACCTTGTGCGTCAGCGCTTTCACGCTTTCTGAACTTCCTCCTCTGCCTGTGATTTTGCGGATGAGCGCTTGTGTGTCCTTTTTATTTCTAGAAACGGTATCAGCCCTGCGGAGTTTGGGAATGCCCTACAGAGGAGAAACGAAAAGGAAAAAGGAGAAATGGATGCCGTGGGCTGGGGGAAAGGCGTAACAGATTGGGAAACTGGAATGGTCTCCCAAGCATACGCAGCATTACCTTTTGTAAAAGGAAACACGAAAACAAAACAGCGAGCAACGTGGGCTTCTAACCTGTGCTCGGGCATTGGCAAGGCACAGAAGGAACATGTCCTCTGCCCCACTCTCCCACCTCCTCCCCTGAAAAGCTGGGGCTCAGGTGCCAAGCTGTTCGTGCTGACTGGCAGGGGAGGGCTTTCATCTCCACCGGGGCATTCACGTGCTCTCTCCTCCCTCCTTTGGGGTTCTCTCAGAATCTCTCTCCAACCCCCTCCCTTCCGTGAGCGCGGTGAGCCCCGGGAGATGGAGAACGTGGCCTTTGTGGGTTGCTGGCACAGAGTGGAGTCAGATTCCTGCTTCTCTGCAGGCAGCTTCCTTCATGCGGAGGGAGGGCTGAGCAGAGGGGTGCTGACCACGCCACCCTCTGGGATGCCCCACCCTGCTTGGGCGTGTGGAGGGGGTAAGCCCTCTCCCAGAGTCTGCCCTTGGCTCTTATTCCTCAGTCTGTGCAGGCGATAGCACCGGCCAAGATCCACAACTAGGGTTCCTCATCTGACCCGCTTCCCCCCCAGGGGCATCGTCCGACTCTCACCGGCAAACAGGGAATGGAGGAAGCAGTCTGTTTTCGTGCAGGAAGGCTCGGATGAAAAGAAGCGTCCCTCTGAGCTTCCAGAGGACAAGGCGCCTGTGACTGAACCGCCTCTGCCTCCCGTGCCGAGCACAGTGCCTGGCACACACTGCTCTGTGCGAATGAACCCAGCACGCCTCCTTGATCCAAATGGGCACACGGGGAAATGCCACCTGCCTTTCTGAACGCCGGTTTCTAGGCAAGATGGTGGTGCCAACAGCCCTGGCCCATTGGTACTGTGAGTGAATCAGCCCCTAAGGGCCAAGGCTCTTTGGACGTCTATGAAAATGTCTTCATTAGCATCGATACATTCATTTCTTTTGTGAATGTATGAATGTCAAAGCAAGAATGGCCAGGCTTCGTCTTACGGGCTTTGGCACTCTTGTCAGGAGAGACCAGTCCCTGGGGAAGGACATCGCGTTTGGCCATTAGGGGCGTAGGGAAAGAGAGGAAGGTCCTTAAGGAGACGGATTGGCCGCAACAATGGCCTCATGCAGAGGAGCAATTGTGAGGGTGACCCAAGACCAGGCAGTGCTGCGTCCTGTTGTGCATACGGTTGCCGTGGATTGGGACCGGCTCGGTAGCACCTAACAACGACATTCATTTCTGGCATCTATTCACTAGCTGCTGTTTGAGGACATTCCCTTTGGGGTATAGCTAATGGACTGAACGAGAAATCAAAATGACAACCGCAGGAATCCACAAACAGGAAACCCGTACCTGGCGCAGGTGATGTTGTGAACGATTTGAATTATTCAACAAAGTCCACGAAACAAAGACAGGAGGTTCCTCCCAACTGCTCACGGCTGGTGAAGCTGTCCTCTTCCCCCTGTGGACACTGGAGCTTCTGTGGCCGCAGAACTTGGTCCCTTGTGCTGCCCACTTCCCCTCTGAGGTTCGCTTCTGGGTCACAGCCATCAAAAGTCCTTTTCTGGAACACAGTTCCACTCTAAGACACAAGGGAATCCCTGAGTCAGAACCAACTGATGCCCACATGGCATCCCACAGGGTGCGGATGGAGTCTAAAATCCCCGCTGACCTGGTCTTAGTTTGCTGACATAGAGAGTGTGTGTGTAGCTTAGTTTAAAACTGTACACTGCAGATGAAGGCTGCTAGGGTAGAGCCCAACGGATGGCTCTCAAGTGTCCAGGCTGAATCTAGGCAAGAAAACCTGAACGACATACTCACTCTCTTCGAACCTGCCTGGGTTCTGAGTCTCTCTTCTTGCCTCTTAGCTCTTTAAAAGTTTACTTTAAAATTCTCAGTCATTTTTTGTAAGTTTATATTCTCTCTGACTTTTCTCTCTTATTCGGTGAAAGCTTCCACCTATCCATATACATACTTATGATCATTTCTTGTATTCTATCTTCGTATTTGCCTTTACCAGCTGTTATATCCTGCTTGTTTTCTCCAGTTATCTTTGTTTTCCCCATTTATCATATCTGTATCTTGCTTCTCTTCTGGAGAATGTGATATCGCTCTTTTTGCTACCGCCCCCACTTTCTTCACATCTCTTAAATCTCTTCCTTTTCTATGTGTTACTTTCTTCCCTCCCTCCCCTTGTCATTTTCGTTGTCCTCTCTGGTCATATCAGCATCCCACCAGCCAAGCCCCTGCATCCATCCATCCACAGGCTTCCCAGTATTGGGAACCGGGTCATCCTGCAGAACCCCGGGCTGAGAGGAGCAGAAGCCCCCGGAGACTCGACCTGGCTGGGTGCACATTGCAGAGCGTGTAATTCTGAGGACTGCCCACTGTGTCCCAGGTCGACCACAGCCCGTGTACATTAGGTGTTGGGATTGTGTTTTCCTCTTTTGTGTCAGGGATACTGTTTCATGGAGAAGGAGGCATTTCCCTCTTCCTGCTTTTAGGACTGTGTGAAGATGGGTGGTGGATCCGGAGCATGCCTGTGTGTTTTGTGTCTCACGCAGCCATAAAGCAAATCTGTCCATTCCCCACCCTCCCACTAGGCACCTTTGATTGCACATGATGGACAGTCGCTTGTGCTTACAGACCCCATGGGAAACCTCCTCTGCTTCTTCCCCCTGGTGTATTTCAGAAAGGGAACACGGCACTGCACATCGCTGCCCTCGCTGGTCAGGATGAGGTGGTCCGAGAGCTGGTCAACTATGGCGCCAACGTCAATGCCCAGTCCCAGGTGAGGGCTTGCTCGAGTCCTGGGCTGGGGGCTGGGGGTGTTGGCCTTTGTCCTTCCGGTCCGTGATGCGGCATCAGCACACCCGCCCTGTGTGTCAGAGTCTCCATTTATTGGCAGCATGTTTCACGGCAACGATGAACCCAAACCCAGGGGCTGTCAATTGGTGCCAACTCCTGGTGACCCCAGGTGTGTTAGAGTGGAATGTGTTCACAGGGTTGCCATGGCTGGTTTTGGAAGCAGATCACTTTCAGAATTACCTCTGGATGGACTTGAGCCTCCGGTCTCTTGGTTAACAGCCAAGTACATTCATTGTTGACGTTTTCCAGGGATTTCCCAGCAGCAGTGGAGACATCTGTTATTATTTCTTCAGGCTCAGACTATGCATTCTGACAGGATGGGGTTAGGTCATTGGCGACCCCATCTCAGCTCGACACACATTTAGTTATGTATGAAGGGAGAGAAGCACCGTGTGTGTTTGTGTGTGTGTTCAGGGGGTTGGGGGAAGGATGAAGGAGGGAGTAAACATGAAGGGGAGAGGGCCAGAGAGGCTGGCCGGTGCTTGAGGAGGCAAAAGCACAGGCTTCCACGGAGTGTCACCTCCACCTGGTGGCCTTTTGCAATAATCCTCTGAAGCCATCTCACAATGACTCTTGAGTTTTTACAACAGGAGACACGGGTGGGGGACGCTGCCCTGCAGCCTAGGTGGAACTAGGATGAGGAGAGGGCTGCCCTCAAGTGTAACTTCTCGTGCTCTTCCGGGTGGATGGTAATGACTTCTCCTCTGTGGGTTCCAGAAAGGCTTCACACCCCTGTACATGGCAGCACAGGAGAACCACTTGGAAGTGGTGAAGTTTTTACTGGAAAATGGAGCTAATCAGAATGTGGCCACGGAAGTAAGTACCTTGGAAAACCCGCCTTGCCGCTGGGAGTCTCCCAGGGGGACAGAATTGTTGAGCAGTAACTTCTGGGGACCTGGCCTGAGGGGCACCCAGGTGTGATCAGCGGAGACCTTCTGTGGTGCTCTCTACCTTCAGCACACTGCACCAGCGCTGGGCAGTGTGAGACAAAGTCATGTGTCTTGAAGCAGGGACATCAGTCTACTCTGCCATTACCACCATAAACAATACACAAGACTCAACAGGAGTGTGTGTGTGTACACGTGCGCACCTGACATACCTGTCTTGGTCCTTCGTGGAAAAGACTCTTGGCCTATACCCATGAACCTTTGGGCAAGTCGCTTTAGCTCTTACCTTGAGTTCCCTCATTGATGGATTAATGTGGAATCATGAAATTAGATTTGACCCTGGCTAAGACCATGACTCTTGACTCTTACCACTGTACGACTCAGTGGTTCCAAGAAACCAAGCTCACTGCCACTGAGTCTGTTCTGACTCATAATGACCCTATATTATCTGACAGTTACTCTGCTTGGTGAGTTCATGGGGCCATGTGTCCGTTAGTAAACAGCAGAGGGAACTCATCCTAATTGCCCACAAAAGAATTCTCTGTCCCTCGTATGATTTCTAGTATCCAGTCAGGTGTTCAATAATATGAAATAAATGAGTGGTACTTGGTCACGCTCCAGGCACTGGTCTGGCGCCAGGAGATGGGATAAGAGGGAGGGCAGGCAAAGAAACACATTTCTTAAAACGCCCAGACTGGACGCAACTGTAAAGTTCATATATCACAATATCAATTTACAACTGATTAAAAATGAAATGTGCGTGGAAGAAAAATCGCAGACAGATGGTGGGGAAAGACAGTGGGGTCCAGCAAGGTTTCAAAGAGAAGGTGGCGTTTCCGCCGACTTGGAGGAAGGTCATTTCGGGCTGCGGGCCTGTCCTGAGCCAGAGCCCTGAGAGGCGAAAGCGGGTGCCTGTCTGAGGAGAGCGAATGGTCACAGAGGGCCAGAGCGAATCTGTCCTTTGCTCTCGTCCCCGCAGGACGGCTTCACTCCCCTGGCCGTGGCTCTGCAGCAAGGCCACGAGAACGTGGTGGCCCACCTCATCAACTATGGGACGAAGGGGAAGGTGCGGCTCCCCGCCCTGCACATCGCGGCCCGCAACGACGACACCCGGACGGCTGCTGTGCTTCTGCAGAACGACCCCAACCCAGACGTGCTGTCCAAGGTGAGGGCAGCAGGGCCAGGGCCGGACCCCAGAAACCGGGGGTCTGGGCACATCACCCGGTCCCACCCATTTCCCGAGAGCGGGCGACGAAGCCTCACGTGATGGTCGCCTGGACTGTAGATGGAGCCAGCTGTGGATCTCAGCACAGTGTGCTGGCAGATTGCCATTAAGAAGAGAGGAGGCCCACACTGGCAGGCCCCCTCGAAATCCCTGCTGGACTCCGGGATTGCTGTTCTTGGCAAGAAGCAGGAAAGGTTCTTGCTGCTCTGGACCATCCAGAAAAGTGTCCAGGGAGGACTGGTTGGGTCCAGGGAGGAAGCCTGGGAATCCCAGGTCAGGTGGGGTTTCTTTTTCTCAGCTCAGCCACACTCTCTTTCCTGGACTGCCCCCTGGTGGTGGGGGGTTTCCCCACAGCTGGACGTGAGGATGTGCAGGTGCTGGTCTGCGGCAAAAAAGACTTGCCTCGTTCATTGTCTGAACGCACTGCTCCATGTTCTGAGGCAGTGTATGCTCTGACCATTGGTTGCGTGTCTTTTCATGGGAAAAGATTTGCACGGAGTTTTTGCATGGTCCCCTACTCCGCTCCCCAATGGCCACTGATTTCCTGTGGAAAAGCAGGCTGGGGTTAGACATGGGTTGGGCCTATGGAACAGATTCATGAGCATGGACCCAACCAGAGGTCAAAGGTCTGCCTTTGACCAGCCAGCTGGGTCATCAGACTCTTTGCAGGAGTAGGGTGGGGGTTGAGAGGATCCCTGGAATTAAGATCATCGACCATGTAACACTTTTCATTAATGAATGAATAGCTCTTCGTAAGCCATCATTCTGGTGAAGGGGCTCTCTTGATTTTGAGGTAATCCTAGTTAGAGGTTTGTCCACATGAACCGTGAAGGAAATTAGGGGGCCATGCAGTGTTGACACCTCACTTTTGAATATAATTTGCCATTGAGGGTCTCTTAATTCTTCCACACATGTTCCCATCCATGAAAATCTGCTTCGCACACGGAGTCCCCTCGGCCCTAACAACTTTTTCCGAGCCTCCAGGCTGATTCTAAGACAGAAATGACTGCGATTCATTCTAACACTCCTCTCTCCTCGCTCTCTGCTGTGTCCCAGACGGGATTTACCCCACTCCACATTGCAGCTCACTATGAGAACCTGAACGTGGCCCAGTTACTCCTCAATCGGGGAGCCAGCGTCAACTTCACGCCACAGGTAACGCCCCGCCCAGCTGGTCCAGCATTCAGGTGCTCCCCCTTCTCATGTGGGCTCCGTAACTTTCGTCAGGACTAGACAAAGGCCTGTTGGTAAAATCGCCCGGTATCTCTTCAGGCTCCTTGTGGACAGGTTTCTGATCACCAGCCCCTCCGTCCTCACTCGTCGTGTCTTGATAAAGCACTCACCCACACGCGGCCAAGCCTTAGACACGGCCGTGCTCCCTCATTTCTTTGGGCAACTAGAAACGGGAAACATGGAGAGGATGTTGATCTTCAAGTAGGTGGCCTGTCTGCATTGACTCTGGGAGACCGGCACTTGACCAAGTTCATGGCCGAACCACTGTGCGGTTCCGTCCCTGCAGGCGGGGTGGTGTCTTAGGAATGCCCTCACATTGTACCGACCCAGTGCAAAGTTAGGAAGCAGGAAGGGACATGGAGGGATGAGGAGGGGGGAACAGCAGCAAGCGAAGGGTGCAGGCTCCTGATTGCTCTCTGCATCTTCCCCCCCCACAGAATGGCATCACGCCGCTGCACATTGCTTCCCGTAGGGGCAACGTGATCATGGTGCGGCTCCTACTGGACCGGGGGGCCCAGATAGAAACAAGGACCAAGGTAGGTGCCAGCCAGCTCTGTGGGAAGGCTGGGGAGGGAGCGCTGCCTTGACCTAATTAAGGATGCGCCACCAGCCTCCTGCGGCAACTGCCACAGTACAGGGGAGAGGAGGACCCAGCCCTGCTGAAGGTACACTTGGCCTCAAGGAAACAGCTGCTTCCTTCTGGTGACAGGGGATGAGGTTGCAGGCAGTCTGCTTGCCAAGCAGCCTCTGGTAATTGCCTCTTGGTCTTTCTGTTTCTGACTCTGTCTTTTAAAGGATGAATTGACACCTCTCCACTGTGCAGCTCGGAATGGGCATGTGCGAATCTCAGAGATCCTGCTGGACCACGGCGCACCCATCCAGGCCAAAACCAAGGTGCGTGTCTCCCTCCTGTGAGAGGCATCTTGGAGGCAGGGCTTCAAGTCAGACAGACCCGGGATCGAGTCCCATTTCTGTGCAACGGAGATGATCATTCTACTTAATGGGGCAGTGGGCCGAGCATTAACCACAATGCTGTCACAGTGGGGCCTGCTGGGTAGAATTCTAATTATTATCTAGATCGGGCATTGTCTCTAAAGGGCCAGCTGTTAAATGTTTCGGTCTTTGTAGACCTTAACCGTGGCCGACTAAGGTGAATTCAACCATAAACAATATGCTAACTAGTGTCTGTGTTCCAATAAAACTTTATATGCAAACATAGGTGGCAAGCCAAATTGTCCTGGGGCTGTCGTTGGCAACCGCTCTAGGCTGACTCTCTGATCCTGGTTTAGAAAAGACAGGTGTCCCTGCTGTTCAGGTTGTCAGAGGGAGCAGGCGCTCTGGGATGGCTGAAGGGCACGGGCCAGAGGGGAGGGAAGGGAATCCAAACAGTACGAGACAATCTTCTCAAGCACCAGGCCAAAGACTCCATCCTTCTATTCTAGCAGGAGCTCTCGTGTCTTCCGAGTTTAAATTGTCAGTGCTGTCCATCCCTTCCCCAGGCCCTCTGCCCATCCCTTCCCCAGGCCCTCTGCCCATCCCTTCCCCAGGCCCTCTGCCCATCCCTTCCCCAGGCCCCCATTCTGTGTGTGTTCTGGGGGGGCAGGGGGCAGGGTATGTAGAAGGCATGTCAGAGGAAGGCAGAAACCAAGGCCATTGGAGACACTGAGGAGCTTGTCTGTGGACAGCTCTCAGTCAGAAAATCGAAGCGCAGTCTTAATTCATTCCTGACCAAGGATGGTCTGAGTGGCCTATAAAAGTATCTTTCCTTTGAGGCATGAGTCTCCCTTTTGTGTGTGCGCG